CCTCAAGTAAAGCTGTTTTCACAAGCTCTAAAGACCAATTCGTTGCGGTACAGCTAGTTTTCTTTCTTATCTGTGCGTGAGGAACGCTGACGTACGAGTAAACTGATTGGATTACAAAGACTTCCGGAACCTTGTGATTGGTTCAAGCTAATATACTGTGTTTTAATTGGCCCATTATACAACGAAATTACAATAGTTAAACTCAAAGAAAGAAAGTCACCGTCTGAAACAATATGAGTTTTTGAAATTATTAGCTTTCTTTTAAACATACCACAACGTTTCAAGTGAGCTGATGGTCGAGAGTTAAAGCTCTGAGTAGAAGTGGTTCTGGCAAACTGCAAACTGAAATATGTACAGGCAACGTAATAAAAAAATCTAAAATGAACAAAATTGTCATGTAAAAATTATCTATTGTTGCCCTGGTAACAAATTACAGTTATTCTCTACTTCGTTAGTCTCAAGAGGATCAAAGATCTCTAATTTTCTATACAACTTTTAACCATAACATTCTTGATTACAATTGGGCGAGTATATGAGCAGGCATGTCTTTCATGCATGTTGCTGCCATCCAGTTCCTTTTAAGTGTTTTTTCACTCTTGGGTGTCCAAGTTTTTACCAAAGCCTTGGAAACTGAAAAAGCCTTGCAACAGGACTTCTAGATTAGATAGACTAAACTAATTGAGCTTTTGTGTGTTCTGACAAAACAAAATATTTTTTGTTATGAATATTTGTTCAGTAGAGGAGAAATTGTTTGTAACTAGCAACTCATATGAATGGCTGAAAAATAATGGAAAATGAAGCTAATCCCCAGCTGTTGTTTAAAAAAATGTATCGCATACAGATTAAACTAATTGACCTTTTGTGTGCTCATAGAACAATATAGTTTTAATTGTGAATACAATCTATACAAATGGCCGAAAAACAATGGAAAATAAAGATAATCCCTAGCTGTTGTATACAAAAAATTATCGTATACAGGTTAAGGTAATTGATTTTTTGGGTGTGCTCACGGAACAAAATAGTTTTTGGGAATATTTGTTCAGTAGGGAACATTATTTTGTACCTGGCAATTCCTACGAATAGCTGAAAAACAATGGAAAATAAAGATAATCCCTAACTGTTGTATAAAAAAAAATTTATCGTATACAGATTAAGCTAATTGACTTTTTGTGTGCTCACAGAACAAAATAGTTTTTATTGTGAATTTATGTTCAGTAGGGGAAAAAGTTTTTGTAAATAGCAATTTATATGAATGGCCTAAAAACAAACTATATAAAATATCTTATACAGAAATCAGATTACTATAGAAAGGCACAAATTATCTTTTGTTGCAAAACTCGGGAATTCTAAAATTTTAAAACGACTTAGGATAAATCCTGTCAGTTGGAGGTGGAATCCTTTAACAATTATGCCGGCCGATCATATGAACAGATCAGGCGCTGACGCAACTTGGCGAATTTGAAAATTTTAATGCGGATGCAAAAGACGAAACAAACATTTGTCATGACGAATTTGTCCTTTGATTTTGTCGGCACAATTCTAGTTTTGTCCGCTAGTGTGGAAAGGCCCTTATTCATTGTGTGTGTGCGCTCACAAAACAAAATCATTTATTGTGGACGGCTTGCTCAGTAGAAAAACAATTGTTTTTAAAAGCAATTGGTATGAATGGACGAAAACAAGTGGGCAAACAACTGATAGACATTTTAATATCGTAATTCGATGGAAGAAAATGCAAAAAATTAAACATTTTCAAGCTATAACTAATTTGGCTGATCCAGCCTTAGTCTCATCAAATGTCGGTCCTATAAGAACCGGTGATGGTAAATTTTACTCTATACGCTCAAACAAACATCGTTTGAAAAGAGAAATAACATTGCTAAAATGAATGAGCATTATGGAAATTTTCTAATAAAAAACAAATTCAAGTCTATGACTGGCCTTGTGACTGGATCGTATGACAATATGGCGTTAATGTCAAGCTCTCTTTTTTAGAAAGAAAAACGAATCAACATTGTCTTATTTTCAAGAAACAAATACATCCAACAACCCTGATTCGCTACTCCCTGAAAGTGTACCCCATACTTTAATATTCAGAGAAAAGTTTGTGTCTGTACCATGAATGCATACATTTTTTTTTCCGTTTCGCTTATATACTGTCGTATTCAGGATAAGTGCCGTAGAATATTGAAATGTGATTATCGTGTTTCTATTGGCTGTAATTTCATGATATGGGAATAAAGAATATAAGAAAAATCTTGTGCAACGTTTACGTCGAATCTCTGATAGTAACCCCGATTTTTTAAGCTAGCTCTCGGTGGGATTCTAAGAAACCAAAAGGGTGGCTTGGAGAGGCCAACAAGCGGATCAGTTATTACCAGACAAAGATACAAGAACTTGGACGGCAGATGAATGGAAGATACTTTGCATAAAGCAACAAGGATGAGAGAATTGTCAAGAAATGCTAAGGTCCAAACTGTCCGCGTAGTGAACGTTAGAGTAAAATGATTTCCAAAACACGCTCTTGGACCTGTTCTATGGCTTCTGATAAGTAGGCTGGTAACCAGGAAAAATGGAAAACATGGTTTTCTAGAGTATTATCACGCGACTTGAAATGGGTAAACATAACATAAAAGCGAAAGAGGTCTATTAATGAAATAACGCCATTTTAAAAAAACAGGAACAATGATTGACTATACCGGAAGTATTTACAGAGGGAAGTCATTTCTGCTCCCTCTGTTCTGAGACAGAGACTTGAACTTAAATGTATTTGGCTTAATCTTTGATTCAAAATACAATAAGGAAACGCTCTTTAGTCACTCTTTGATTGTGAAGTTTATACAGTTAACTTAGAAAAACTCTCATTTATTAGGGCGGATAATTCCGACCAACTTGTTTTAACTGAGCGTCTAAAATTCTAGAATATTCAGCTCTGATAGAGCTTTTTTAAGAAGAGTGAAACAAGTAAAGAGAAAGTTGAAGTTAAGGAGAGTAATTCGCCTGAAAGTCATAGAAGGATATTCTTTGAATTGACTTTGATACATACCAGAGACATTCTAGATATACAGCGACCATCTTCATTAAATATTTCAAATATTGACGACATTTGTAATTTGTTGTTCCTTTTCTACCATTGACAATGAGTTTTGGAAAATAGAACGGCCTTCAGGAGAATTCCTTAACGGCAGGTGGTGCAAATTTTGTGTCATACACCCGCTTAACATCGTTATCAAGACAAAACACCATCTTCACACATTCCGGAGCATTATGGACAATTTTTATTAAAAAAGGCAAATTCGATTCCATAACTTTATTATCATTAATATCATCGCTATCATTGCTATTATTTTTACTATCATCATCATCATTTTTATTATTTCATCCTTACTTACATATTGACAGCATATCAACAAGACAGCAAGTTTTCACTAGTGCTGGGATCTCGCAACAAAGACGTTATCCTGTAGCAGACTCTTAGTAGACGAGCGAAAAAAAATGGCCAGACAAGCTGAAGTTGTCAGGGAAACAGCTCCGCGATCCCTTAACGGTCACTCAGCCATGATCTGAAGCGTGGCTACTAAGCTTTTCACTCAGTAACAAAGATGGCGTCGTTTCTATCAACTCAAGTAGTATTTTAGGATCCTGGTAAAACTATATAAACAAGCCAGTGATAAAATTTACTCATCAGAGGATGAAGGCAAAATTTTCAAAAATACTTGTTAATTTCGCCTGAATGAAGGTTGCTTGAAAGGATCGATGTGTGCAGATCTCTCAACTTCCATGGAATGGCGACTTGAGGCATTCGAAAGCAGACCGTCATTATGGAAATTTATCGGGGAATACGTTCCTGAAAGTGAGCGAATCGAGATCAAAGAAGCTTTGGGAGAAGATCTAGTGGATGAGACCTTGGATTTACACAATGAGGTCGGTTATAATTACATGTACATGTATGTATGTTGACGTTTATGTCAGATAACATCATGCATTATCAATCAGCTATTGACTTCAGTCAATAAAGTCGATAAGAATCAATAGATACGTATTGATGATCATTGTTTGATCTAAAAAGTCAATATAAATCGATAATCATCCTTAAACTCGTCTTTATTTCGTTGTGTGTTATTGCTTTATATTGATCGATAATCATTATGGTGCTGTTGTGTGATAGTTAAATCCCCTTACAGTTGATGGACTACAGTGATGATGATTAAGTGTAAGCATGCTTAAAAGATGAATGTCAGTATTTCGAGTCTTCAAAGGATAACAGTCAACCAATTAAAAATGTTATCGCGAAGTGCTTTTTTTCCAGTTGTGATTGCAGGATGGAAAATTAAAAGAGGAGAGAATGCAGGAAAAAACTTTCTATTGAAGACAGGGGCCACTTATTTTTGCCACTGGTTGTTTCTCTATCAGCTAAACTTTTGAGTTAACAATTACATTGACACAAGGTCTTTTCTCTACCTTTTCTTTGGTCTGTTTTGGTAATATTACATCCTGGCTTGAAAAAGGCTTATCCTTACTGATTTACTGTTGTAAGATATCTATAATTTGGTGCATGCAAATAAGGAAAATTTCCTCGTTTTCTTGAAACCTTTCTACATCACAGGCATCCCAAGCTCATGTCTTGATAATAGTAAGAGGTTAGTTCATGAAAGGGTCATGTACTGTGTGGCACAGTGTTACTGTTGCTTGAGGTACCATTGAGAATTTGAAGGCCTCATAAGGAATAGTATGGGGAAAGAAATATGGTTGATTTATAAGGCTAAATATTCCAAAATTCAAGCATTTTATCTGAAAGATTGATAAAAGCTACTCACTCCTTGTGTATCTGTTGTGTTTTCTGGCATTCTCTGCTGTTTTAAGCTTGCTTTGCCATCGCTGTTATTCCTGTTATAAGACAGGGTCAGGGCTGCACACTATGATTTGAACTGTTGTCCTTGGGGAGACGGATTGCACCCAAATAATCCTTCCAAACAGCAATTTTTTCACCAAAAGTTTACGCTCTAAGACCATATTGAACCCTGGAAAAATGTTAAAACAAGCATTTTCTACCAGAATTTCCAAGTTAGCCCATCAAATTCTCAACAGTTTCTTGCATAACTTAACACTGGGTAACACAACATGTGATGCTTTCATGAATTAATCTTTTGCTCTTGCCTAAACATGAGCTTGGGACACCCACATCTACATCACAATTTTCTTGCAAACAATGACAAATTTCACTACTGATGTCTCTGCAAAGAAATGAGTACTTTGCTAGAGCATAAATGTGTCAATGTTTTGTAGATTTTTGGTGGGAAAGAACCCTTTGGGCAAAAAGTTTTGTAGAACAGCAACATGTAGCCACACCATCAAGTTGAATTGTACAATTTCTCATTATAACTGTCACATTTCCTCAAATCTTTGCTTCTTTAGGTACTAGAAATCACAGGAAAATGTTGCTTAAGGGAATTCCATCACTCTCTTTTGTGTTTCTTTTGTACACAATATCACCTTCTATTTTGTGATATTTTCAAGGGATAGCCATTTTACACAGGTGTCTCACAGTAGCCTAGGTGTAGCTGCACTATCTCCTCCCCAAGGCAAAACAGAAGTGAGGGAGGGGAGGGTACAGCTACACCTAGGTTAGTCTTGCAGCAACAACTCCCAGCTCCTGCACACATATAGCTACCTTCTGACAGAAGAAAAAAGTAATTAACTTACATTAATAACTACCAGTTAAATAATGAAAGAATGGTCTGTTAATATTTTAATATAGGCCTCCACCCTTCTTGAAATCTGGCAAGATTACAGGGAAGAAACAGAGAAAGAAGAGAGAGGTTCCTTTTCTTTTTTGTATTTTAGTTATTATTATTTAATTACCGTGTTTTGGTTACACACAACTGTTGTAAAAATTTGTTTGTCGCATGTTATATACAAAATCAAGATAGTTATAGATATTCACTTATTTTAGGTTTAAATATTTGGCAGTTTCATAAAAATGATGATCAATAGCAAAGCACTTTCAGAACATCCTTGAAAGGTGAAGGGGAAAGGTTCCTCTTGAATTGATTCTTATTTTTTTCAATTTAGAAGCCCAATATGCACACCTTTATCTACAATGTAATGTAACTTTATTTATAAGTAACCATCAGTGTAGAAGTGTTCTGACTAGTTATTAGATGTTTATAATGTTAAGGGCATTCATGAAATGTACTTTTGATTACACCATAATGGTTGCCCAAACTTGTAGTAATTATCATGTTCCATTCATGTTTTAAATCTGCATTTGATAGTTCATGGTATTAGAGGCTTTTTTCCACACTGCTCAATAATGAACAATCATTTACTAGAAGCAGACAAAGAGCAACTATAATTGTTAGCAAATGTTTCCACCCATTTGTTGATGAAATGGATTATTGACATAATTATTACGTGATATCTTTTTTCAACTCTGTGATGGCTGAGTATTGAGCATGTACAAATATGTTTCAGTTAATGAGTTTGTTCCACATGATGACTGTATCCATTTGTTAAAAAAGAGATCTTCAAGATTCTCAGATATGTATCACTGTTAAGCAACTACAGTGATTTGGCTTTCATAATTTTGGAGGGTCTTTCTGGTACAATGTCTTAAAAATGACAAATGGCAATCAACTTTTTGGAATTGGCTACCATTTAAAAATATCTAGGAGCCGACTGGCTATTTAAAAAAAATAAATAAATTTTACGTCCTGTATTCAAGACATGTATGAACAAAACATTGTACTGAAATAAACTTGTTTATGGTACTTTGTTGCCAATACAACAGTCAAAATATCACTCTAATAATCCAGTACTGTATTTCAGTTTCCAGTTTGATGGGGTATTCTTAGACTAGTAACTTTAAAAGGGACACATTGTAGACCAAACCCTTTCCCAAACATTATCTTGTCTCCCAATTAAATTGCTCTGGTCTTGCTCTTTTGATGAGTACTGCTTTCATTTTGACAGAGAAAGCCCTGCAAAGACATTTACATAGACTTCCTGAGCCTCCAATGATAAGAGAAAATCTCAAGAAAGAGATTAAAATGTTTGTGGAAATGTTGCAGCAGAAAGCAAAAGAGGAAGGAAGGTATAGTGTAAACTGCAAAGTTTCATTTATTAATGACATGTTGGTTGTCACTTGCTAGAACAAAGATGTGCACGGATTGCAGCATGTATTTCCTAAAACTTTGTAAGCTATCCTGCATTATAACCGGGTTTGAAGATTTATGTGGTCTGAAATTTGTCATAAGCTAGTTGTCAACACCTTCTAGTTTTAAATTTTTTTAAAGTTTGTAAAGACATTGTAATCTTGCCAGGATTTTGTGATACTTCCTTGTTAATCATATTTATTAGAACATGACTTGTTTTCACAATGAAATTTAAAGTTAGTTGCTGACTAATGAGCAAGGGTGATAGTTATTGTGTAAAGTTGAATTTTTTTTTTTTGGTACCAACTTGAAGCTGCTAAAAATAACTTCAATATTTTACAGCTGCCTAACATTGGAAAATGTTAAAAAATCCTTGAAGGGTATAAATACAGCTTGTTCATTTAGAAATTGAAACAAAAAATTAAAAAGCCAGAACAGAAATTTGACCTTCTTGCGGCAACTACAGCAACAGAAGGACCCATTTTGTTTGACATGATTTAAATCTTATGATTTGACATAACTCATTTTATTTGTCAAATTAACTCCCATGAGTGACCAAGATAGAATTTCTCCTTACAATATCAATATAATATCAAGCAGACAAGTGATCAGAATAAAGAAAAATATAAATTAAGGGAAAATGAGTTGATCCAACACCAAATTCTCCAAACAAACATCATGAGAACTGTATGGCAGATAGTAAGGAGAATAACTAATGAGATCTTGGGAGTTAAAGGGTTAACTTAACAATTTGCTCTTTGTAGGAATCCATCAAGCATTTTGAGTGAGAAGGAGTCTGATATAGTGGAATATGTGTTTGACAATACAGGTAAGTTCAACATGATGTTTAGCTTATAACCAGATAGTTTCCTTGAAAAAAAGTATTTCACTTGGTCTATGTAGTATAATACATATACCTTAATTTATCACTTTCCTAATTTCAACCACACTGTTTTTAAATTTAGGCACATGCATGACTGTAATTTAATAATTTTCTGTGCATAATTTGCAATTTACACAACATCCAAATAAATTGTATTTTTCATCCAATTATTTGCCATTCATTATTTTTTCTCACTTCCATCATGATTGGAACAAAGGGCAATTGAATTGCACAATTATGTTCATAAATTGGGTATGTTTCTAAAGAAACTGGTGCTGTGTCAGCCACTGTAAAGAGTTTCAAAGCTGACATTTTGCATGTTAGCCCTTTGTCAGAGCAAATGACATTACATCACCTACCCAGTTGACAAAACCAAAATTGTCTTACAATTATGTTAGACTGATGAGGGTTCTTTGTTCTTATTAACAGCTGCTCGACCCTCCAGCTCATCAAGTCGACCATCCACTGCTCATTCATCCAGAGATGGACGACAAACCCCAATGAGGGCAACACCCAGTAGTGATGGTAGCAGGTGAAGATGTAAATTGGTGTAATGCTGTTTGCTTCTGTCCATGAGCTTATGCGCTAAATGTAGCACACAACCATTAAAATGATTTTTCTTGTTTTGCCAAACAATATAATGTAAATAGATCAATAAGAGTTCATGTGCCACATGCCCAAAAAAGTGATAATGTATTTAATGATTTTTTTCCTTTGGTTTAGGTGTGCTTCCTCTCTTAGCGATCATCTTGAGTCCATGAATGACAAGCTGAATGCACTGGAAATTGATAGAATTACCCATCATTTAAGGTACTTACTGTCTTACTGCCAGATAGCAGTGAGTCCATTTCATATGTGTTATGTCAAATTTTCAGATATCATCTTGATTGGTACAGGAAAGCACTCATACTTGTATATTATTATTGCCACATGTGGATATAACTTTAACGCATGCTATTGTTGGCTACAATTGTAGTTCTGAGTCTGTTTTCCCTCTCCAAAGGTTTTTTTCTCATGTTACTATGAAACTTAAAATGCAAAGTACAGAAAAGTGTGGGAGAAAATTTCTCATAACCACGAGGCAATGAGATGCCAAAATAGACCCATATGTTATTTATCTATAATACCTTTCTCACACATGCAACCAGTTATTAACACACTGGCCCGGTGACCTTGTAATTTTGCCCTTTGTTCTTAATCACTTTGATTACTTTGGCAGCATAATTTCCAAGCTATTTACTTTAAATGGGAAAAAGCAGTCTCTGGTTTCAGATGCAACTACTTTAATTTTTTGCCTTGTTTTAATCCATTAATATTTCTTGTGTGCATTTTCAAATTGTAGGCAGTTATTAGAAGAAGAGAAAGAAGGTCTCCTTGGAGACATAGCATTTTTGCAGGTACAACTGATGTGCCCTATCGTGTAGTGATACTTAACCCTGTAACTCCCATGAGTGATCAAGACAGAATTTCTCCTTACAATGTCAATACAATATCATGCAGACAAGTAATGAGAATAAAGAAAAATATCAATTATAGGATTAATAATTGATCCAGTACCAAATTCTTCAAACTGCCAAAATGAGAATTGTTTGGCAGACAGTAAGGAGAATTACTAATTAGATCTTGGGAGTGAAAGGATTAAGAGAGCAGATGGTGCTGACAGTGAAGCCAGTGCTCACTTTCTCCCGCTGTGTTCTGAGTTTATGAATTCCATATTTTAGTTTAAGTTGGATGATTTTTACCCTGGCCTCTTGCTTACCAGTTTAATCCCTTCTGCAAGGGCCATTCAATACTCCAAATTTCAATTAGTCAGGAATTGTGGGGATATACACTACTAACTTGCATTAATTTTTTTACATTTATAACATGCATTTTTCATTTATTGGGTGGTGAAAAGTTTTGGAAATCAAAAAAAGAGGAGAGAAAAAAGTGAAGAGGTCTATATAAATGGCAAAATAAATTTTTTCATGTTTAAAAGAAAACACTGTATATTGCTATTCTGTGTAGGTTTTGATGTTCCTAACTATTATAATTTTAAAAAATTGTGCAAATTTTCTAAAATCGCACAATTCTTCTTCTTTTGTTTCTCTTGTTTCCTATTTTGCATTGGGTGAATATTAGCTCTTAATTCTCTACAACTGTACAGTAGAACCTCTACAGTTTACCCCTTCCCGCCCAGGGGAAGACGACCTATTCCGACACGTTTTTCTGTTCTAATGAGCCGTGTGGCTGTTTGAGGAAAATTTTCCAAGAAAGCTGGCTTTCATACTCTTTATGGTGGTCAATTTACTATACCAACTCAGTTGATAATATTAAATTATCTGTCTATACTCTCTCAACGACGCAGCACCACAGTTTCTCTAGAAACGAACCCTCTCCTTTCATAGAGTTTGTCGCCGTACTCTGCTTTTAAATTAACCTAGTTGGACCTTTCTGTGTGGTTTTTTTAAGGATTGCCTGATGGAGGAATCAAACTATAGAGGCCAGGTTACATCGCCGAATGAACCAGAGCCGTCGTTGAGAGGTAGAAGAAGCTGAAAAGTACTTTGAATAAATAATCACACAGATAGAGTGTCGTACAACCAAAACCCAAAATAATTTACTATAGGCCAATCAAAACACCAAGGAAAACATCACAAGTAGCCAATGCGAACTCAAAGTGAAACCAAGCAATCGGCATTAAGCGCGGGAAAACGCGGTTGAATGGGTGACACGTGATTTCTTAAACAACCACTGAACGCAGTAATGCAAAACCAATGTCAAACTACAGCAGTCATAAAACCCTCACTTTTAACCACCGATATAGCTGGGTTAGGCGTTCTGTCCCACACGACTTGACTAATTTATTGCGTTTAAATCATGCCCAAATACAGGGTTGTATGTTCTTTCACAAGTGTTATTATTTTTGTTTTAGATTTGCGTGATTTGGGAACGAAACTTGAGAAGGAACTTCTCAACAACGTTTCAGCAGTTGCAAGGTAAGTAGTACAAAATCTGATTTTTTCCTTCTTCGTTTAAACACTTTATTAAAAGTGATGTGTTTCCGTATAATATAAGAGTGAGAAGAAAACCTCTACACAACCACCTTCAAAACCAACTCAGGTGGTTAAATAACTTTTTCCATCATCCTCCAGGCGTCGTTCGTCCAGCGACAGTGCACATTCTTCACAGCGGGACAACTTTTGTCTAATACAAAATAATGTATTTCGCCTTTTCCCGATGAACAGCTTTACCGTGCTGGTAAAGCACTGTAGAAGAACATTTCTAAGAATAAATGTAATACAAATAAATGCCCCTGTAATAGTACACTATAGTGGCATCAATTAGAAGTATATTCAAGAAAGTTCCAAAGCGTTAAATCATAATGCTACAGTATCCACATTTCATGGCAGAAATATCCAAAACTCCCTCTTAATGTCTCTCTCCGTAACAACGCTGTAACTGCGTATCTGAGAGCCCCCGCTGGCTAAATTCCCTAAATGGACGACTAGAGACTAAAACCTCTCTAGCTAGGAAAGAACTGAAGGGAATGTTCCAGGCCTGTGGCCACGGTCATATTTTATTCTCAGACTTGTTTTATATCGTAGACAACCACAACGAAGATTGTCTGACTCCAAGAGACAACCTTTATTAGAAGAAAAACCACAAAGAAGACGCGAATCGACTGAGGCAGAGCCTCTTCCCATACCCAGACCTCCCTCTTCTTCACATGACCAACGTTACCATGGCACGGTACCCAACCGCGTACTTACAAGCAAAAGCTCTGAGGTTAGCGGTGTTCCTCGCGGACAATTTTCTTCTTCTCCACCAACTTCGGCCAATCAAAAAGGACTGACACCCTCTCCGCCCACCTCGGCGAAAACTGTTCGGCCAGGTTCGGCTGCGCGGTTTCGGAAAATGGTCGTTGATTGTCGCGACAGTGGAAGATAGGATGTTGTTCAGGA